CCTCAGATGGTTGGGGGGCAAGGCTGTGGGTCCCTCAGATGGTGGGGGGGCAAGGCTGTGGGTGTGGATGTTTTGGGAAGCATTCTAATCACTGCACCTGCTGATCAGGCCTGAAGCCAGGGACTGGGACATGCTGCCTTTGGTAGGTGAGTGACAACAGTGCCCGCTTGATCCTTAGTGGCTGGGGAGGCTGCACAGGGCTCCTCAGGGGAAGCGTGGGCAATCCTGTCTGTCTTGTTAGAATATTAATAGTAATAATCCTAACATTGGCTGGCCGCCTGTATGGAGCACTCATTCTGGGCCAGGTGATGCGGACACCACCAGGAACAGAACTGCCAGCTCTGGTGAAGCAGACAGTCTAGATAAATAAGATATCGCCAGGTAGTAACAAGTGCTGGGAAGACTATCAGACAAAAGGGTAGCCTGGGACCGAATAAGGACTACCCGAAATGGGGCTTCTCCTGGCACCCCAGTCCCACATGGCCGGGCTTTTGGCGAGGTCCATTGGAACTCTGTGCCCCCTGGGGTGCATTTTCAGCCCCATGAATCGTGAAGAGGTCATTCAAGGTCATGGAACTCAGGCCCTGTCTGGACAGGGCACCTCGACCCAAGCTGCAAGCAAACCCTGCCTTGGGGTTGTGAGTGGGGAAGGCACGCACATAAACCTAATCATAAGTGTCAAATGATCCAAAGGACTGTGGATGCAAAGTTTTCTCATCTTTAGAAGGAGGCTACTTGCTGCCCTGCTGTGTAGGATTGCCCCGAGGACAAAGGAGATGATGTCAAGTGCTTTGAAAAAGCACTCTGTAAATATTAATGGTAACTAATTGTTGTTGTTAGTCTCAGCTCTGGGGCCTGGGAAAGCAGAGAACCGGGTGGGTTCTATAATTCTGTGCCAAGTAAGGGTTAAAGAGACGTGAGCAAGGAGGTTGGGTATTAGAACTTTAGGATGGTTCAGTTTGTGTTTCAGAAGCGAATGTTTTCTGGCCGCGGGGGAAGTGACAGATGGTTGGCGTGTGATTACGTGTGGGTGGGTGCGTGAGCGTCAGAGGGGCAAGGAGCGCTCCTGCGGTCTAGCTGACGAGGCAGAGGGACCTGCTGGGGGCAGTAAAGTGTCCTATAATCTTCAGGAAGCAGGACATGGCAACTTTCCCTCCTTGCGGATCTCCGGTGGCTTTAATCGGCCTTCCCTGGGCATTGAAGGAAATGCTCCCCACCCCTCCCCCCTGCGTTTCCAGGAAGAGCCTGGTCTGAGGATCCCCACAGAGTGGGAAGCACCTGGCGCACACCAACGTCCAGAGCATCCTGACATCAACAGGATGATGAGCCAGATAAACAAAAGCTGCACAACTTGGCGTGAGGAACATTGATTTTCACCCCGGCCCCGTGGAGATAGGGGCGGGCTTGTAGGGATGCCCTTCCCCTCTCCAGACTCCTCTGTTGACTGCTTTGTGGCTATGGAAGAGCTTATGGCCATCCCGCCTGTCAGCAGCTGACCCAGGCTTCCGACACTCCAGGGCACTTTCTGCTGCCACTCAGCTTACAATTAGGGAACCAATACCCAGGTTTTCCCAGCCTGTTGGTTCTGGACACGACTTGCTGTCACCGTGAGTTTTGAGGATCATGTGACTTGTGAAAGGTGCTACATGATGAGCAATGTCAAAACAGAAGGGACCCTATTGACTGAAGCTCGTGGTTTATAAAGGACTGAAATCATAACTCAAATTAGCTTAAGTGATAAAAACCACACCAAACAAGGCAAAATGCAGGAAAGCCCGAGGGCTCCTGATTTAGGCAGGGCTAGATCCAGGTGCTCAAACAATGTTACCAAGGCATGGACCTCTCTTTCCCCTTGGGATCTGTTCTCTTCTGTTGGGGCTTAATTCTCAGACAAGCTCCACTATTGGGTAGTAAAAATTACTTCTGGAAGCTCCAGGCTTTAACCCTACAGCACGATGAGAAGGACTCCGCTTGTATTTCAAACAAAATCCAAGGCTGACTCTCATTGGTCCCGTTGAGTCACAGCTCCGTTTCTGAACCAATCGCCGAGCCCAGGGGGAGGGAAATGCTCTGATTGATGGGGCTGAGGCGGCAGAGCAGTCCCAGGAACTGTATGGACAAAAAAGGTGGGTTGCCCTGTGCAGAAGAGCAGTTAGGTGCCTAGCAGGCAAAGCACAACACTTCCAGTCCCCAGCATGTGGGGGGCTTCCAGCTCTGGGCCACTGTGGCTGCCTGGCTCTGCTCACTGGACCGCCCTGCCTTTCCCCTCCTGGACTCAGCGCTGCCCTTTGGATGCAGACTCTGTGCTTGACTTCTGTTAGGAAGATTTGGGGTGGGGGAGGTCTCCTTTGGGTTTCCTGCCCAGAGTGGAGTTCTTTGTGTGCATGCAGGGATGGATTTTATAGGCCCCGTGTCTGCATGGACAGCCTGACAGCAGGGTCCCCTGGGGGAGGGGGGCCTCACACAGCAGACAGGTGGGCTGGAGGCCAGCCAACCTCTGAAGGTTGCAGAGAGAGGATTTCAGAGAACTGGTCCATTCCTGGCCTGCAAGGAGATGGAGGTGGCATGCAGACAGGACGTAGGGAAGCAAAGATCTTCTTTTCTTTCTTTTTTTTTTTTTAAGATTTTATTTATTTGAGAGAGAGAGAGCACAAACAGGGGGAGTGACAGAGGGAGAGGGAGAAGAGACAGCTCCCCCAACCCCGCTGAGCAGGGAGCCCGATTCAGAGCTCGATCCCAGGACCCTGAGATCATGACCCGAGCCGAAGGCAGACACTTCACTGAGCCACCGGGTGCCCCAAAGATCTTTTCTTCCTGTATGTCTTTAAAAATGTTTTTGAGGCAAATTTCACATAACATAAAATTAACTGTTTTAGAGAGTACCCTTGAGTGGCATAGAGAGCACATGCACACTATTGCATAACCATCAACTCCATCTAGTCATGGAACATATTTATCACCCCAGAAAGAAATCCTATACCCATTTGCACTCTCCCTCCCTCCTCCCGCTGGTTCCTACCATCTACTTTCCTTCTCTTTGAGTCTATCTGGGACTCATATGAGTAGAATCATAGTGTTCGTCCTTCTGTGTCTGGCTTATTTCACTGAACACAGTGTCTTTAAGGTCCATCCTCGTTGTAGCAGGGGTCAGGATCCCTTCCTTTTTAAGGATGAATCATATTCCAGTGTCTGGATGGACCATGTTTTGTTTATTCATTCACCCATTGATACTTGAATTCCCACCCTTTATCTATTGTGCACAATGCTGCTGTAAGCATGGCTGGGCCAGTATCCATTTGGGTCCCTGCTTTCAATTCCCTAGTGTATATATCTAGACTTAGAATCGCCGGGTCATAGGGCAGTTCTTTTGGAAGATCTGCCAAACTGTTTTCCATAGTGACTGCACCACTTCACATCCTCACCTGTATGTCTTTTTGTATATTGAGAGATTAAAAATAGGCAGAAAAAGGGGCACCTGGCTTGTTCAGTCGGGGGAGTGCGCGGCTCTTGATCTTGGGGTTGAGTTTGAGCCACACATTGGTGTAAAGCTAACTTAAAAAAATAGGCAGAAAAATACATTGAAGAGATTCATTTTTTTTTTTTTACATGAAGAAAATCGAGTCTTTGCTTTTAACAACATGCCAATCAAACGCCTTGGAATTTAAAAAAAATAATCAGCAAAACAGGCGCTCTAGGCTAGCTTGAGTGGCACACCCAAGGCTGGAGAGATGTGTAAAGAAGAAAACAAAAGCACACTTTAATCTGACTTTATTTGGAAGAGAAAAAGGAAGGTGACCAGCGGCAAGCAAAATTGTTTCCTGGAGTGTTGTTTTCCCAGGAATAAATGGGGACTTGAGGTAATGCTTTGCAAAGGAAGGGAATCCACGGGGATGGGTTCTTAGGGCCCTGCAGGGTTGAGGAGCCCCGGGGGGCAGCAGGAACCCCGGGGAGGAGGGTTCTCCCCTCCAGCCGCCTCTTCCCAGGATAGACATTTGACAGATCTTCAGGGGGAATTCCCTGGTTCCTGCAGGAAGGAAACAGGGAGACAATGGAAACATGAAATTTCAGGGCCCTTTTATTTATTTTTTTAGATTTTATTTTTATTTATTTGACAGAGAGAGACACAGCGAGAGAGGGAACATAAGCAGGGGGAGTGGGAGAGGGAGGAGCAGGCTTCCTGCTGAGCAGAGAGCCTGATGCGGGGCTCGGTCCCAGGACCCTGGGATCATGACCTGAGCGGAAGGCAGACGCTTAACGACTGAGCCACTCAGGCGCCCTTTAGAGGGCCCTTTTAGATCTGAATTTTTCTCCTTACTCAGCAATGGGGTCCAACCGGGATCTTCCAACCTGTGCGCTGTGGACACTTGGGGTTGGACGCGTTGGGGGCGTCCTGTGCACCAAAGGGTGTTGAATGACATCCCTGGCCTCCAGGTTTTGATGCCATTTGATGCCAAGTGCACCCTCCCCCCGTCACAACAACCATAAATGTCCCCAGACGTTGCCCAGTGTAGAGAACCGCTGTGTTAATAAATCTGTTTGACCAGAATGAATCCCTGGAGTTGCTCATAAAATTAGCATGTTTTGCCGAAGAGTCAAGAGGTCCCCTTCGCCTACTGTACAGATGGGAAAACTGAGGCCAAGAATCGCCCAGGGCTAGACCACTTTGAGAACCTGGCCCACGCAAATCTCGGCGGACAGCCCCTCTGGAGCCACGTGGCAGCAGCAAACTGCGCTCGGGAAGCGCTACAGCGGCTGTCGTGTACGCTTCTGCCTCAGTCTCTCTAGTCGGATTTCCCCAACAGCCCCCAGGGTCCTCTTTTCCGGGCCTCGAACCCTCAACTCCGCGCTCCCGGCCCTCCAGCCGGTCTCCCGAGCGCCGCTCGGGAGATGGGCGGCACTCCGGGGCCCGGCGCGCAGCCTTGTGGGGATTGTAGTTCCGGTCCCGCCCCTGTTCCGCGTCGACCCCGCCCCTGGAACTACGCTCCCGTCGTGCCCCGCGGCGCGGGCGGAGGCGGGGCAAGCGGTCGGTTGCTAAGACTTGTGAGGCGCAGCTCTCGCTTGCGGTTCTTCAGGTAAGCGCGGGGCCCCGGGGGCTCGGCTCTCGCGGCCCCGGCTCCCACGGACGGCGAGCCGGGGTGGCGACGGGCGGGGGGTCGTATCTCGGCGGGCGGGGGACGCCGGCCGCGCCGGGCTCGAGGAGGCAGTCGGGGACATCGGCGCGTGTGCGCGTGTGTGTGTGCGCGCGGGGCGGCCGGGCCGCGGGCCGCTGCTGCCCGCGCCCGTAGACCTTGTGCGCGTGCGCGCGCCCCTGCGGCCGGGGGTGGAGGCCCCGTGCGTCCAGCTGCTCCGCTCTCCCCCTCCCCCCCGCGCGCGTGCTTGGGGTCATCGCCGCCAGCCCCCTGCCTCTGGGCCGCGCGTTTACTGGCGTCCCGCCCCTGCAGGCGTCTTCCACGTTGCTAGACGTGAGCCTCTCCTGACGCTTACCGACAGTGTGAGTGGTCAGGGTCTTCTCTTGTCGTGGCCCCGGGCAGAAGGGGTTCCCTCCCGCACCCCGCATGCCCGACGTTCTGGAACTTTCGTGCACGGAAGGGCGTGTGGCAGGACGCCCCGCCGTAGGAGAACTTCGTATGAGCAACGGGGGAGCTCGTTAGGGGTTCAGATGGCAGCCCCCTGCGTCCCCACTGGGCCAGTCAGTGAGCTGCCCTCGGAACCAGCACCTGGCGCGCTGCCAGCGGGCCTGGGACTCCACACTGGCTGTCCTGCTCAGGCCTGCCTGCCTTCCAGGGTCTGCTGCCAGTCACTGCCTCCGAGGAGCCCTCCGGGACTCTGCCCACCCCCCACAGGGCGTCGCCGGACCCCGGCCCGTGTGGGGCCTCGTGTGGATTTCGTCCTTTTCTGGCTCAGACAGCCTTGCGTGATGGTGTTGGGTTCCCATTTCTCGGAGGGGGACGCTGAGGGTGGGGTCACACCCAGGTTCTGGCCTGCTTTCCTAGTCCAGTGGTGAGATGGGGCCTGAGTGAGTTTACCGGGTGTTGCCTGCGGGGCGACTGCACTCCCTGAATCAGTGCCATTTCCTGACTCCCTCCCAGCACCAGAGTTCTAGAGCACCCCACTTGCGGTGGGGGGCTGCAGGGGGCCGTGGGGGGGCCCTAAGCTGCCGAGGGGACTTGTGTTAGGGTCCTGTGTCTCTGGCCCACCAGACCCTGTGGGGGCTCCCATGCAGTTGAAGGCCCCCCGCTCCCAGCCCAGGACTTCAGTGCCAGAGGCAGAGGCACTGCAACAGTGATGTGAACCGGCTGTTCTGAGCAGGCTGTGTCTGCCCCGGGGGTGCCAGGGATGGGACTGAGCCGGCAAGAACAGCAAAGGGTGTGTGGGGGGAGTGTGAAGGTGGCCAGGTGCTGGGAGCTGGGGCTTGTTCTGGAGCATCGGACAAGAGAGGAGCCCAGGTGCCCCAGCGGCTTCCGGCCCACTCCACATCCCTGGCGTGTTGAAACAGAACACTGGTGCGTGGACACTGCCACTAGACTGGCACTCTCCTCCGGATGCTGGGCTTGGGAGCTCAGGCGAGACACCGTCTGCGGAAGCTGTCTTCCTTATCTGTGGAATGGGCTGAGAGGGCAGTCCGAGAGCTGTTGAATGTCTGCCTGGTCAGATCCTGAGTCGTCTTCCCTGCCTTGTGGCTCCAGGCACGTCGTTGCAGCTCACAGAGCCTCATCTTGTCTTGTAGAAAGGGGACAGTTCCCCAAGCTCCCTCCTGGGTCATTGGGAGGACACATGGCGGCCATGGTACCAGCAGCTGTTATCTGAGGTATTGGGCCTTGTTTGGAGTCTGCTGACTTGGCAATTGCCTTGTGTCCTTACCCCTCCCCGCTTTTTTTAGCAGCTTTACTGAGGGGCAGTTCACCCATTTAAAACGGACATATCTGTGGTTTTTAGGACATTTGTGGGGTTGTGGAACTGTCATCACAGTCTTATTCCAGAACATTCCACCTGCCCCCCAAAAAGCCCCGTCCCCATTAGTAGTCACTCCCGGTCCCCCTCCCCCCAAGCCCCCACGAGCCCCCTTCCCGTCCGTGGATGAGCCTGTTCTGGACGTGTCACCCACGTGGACTCACACCCCATGTGGCCTTCTGTGTCTGGTTCCCTCCCTGAGCGTCGTGGGCTTGGGGTCTGTCCCCGGGGTAGTGTGTGAGGGCGCCTCGCTTCTGTTCACAGCTGAGTAATGTGTCTGCGCTTGGGGGACCGTGTGTGTATCTGTTCATCCATCGAAGGACACTTGGGCCGTGTCCACCTTCTGGCTGCTGTGGTTGCTCTGCCGTGAGCAGGCGTGTGTAGGCTTCTTTGTGGACATGTGTTCTCAGTGCTCCTGGGTGCGTGGCTGGGCGTGGAGTGGAGCAGCCGCTGGCTGGACGGTGACTGCTGGGGTTTTTACCCACCCTACCTAGGAGCAGGCACCCCGGCCAGCAGTGTCCCAGTGGCAGTCTTCTTTACTTGTCACCTGTTTTGTTTTCATTGGACAGAGTTGTACTTTCGGAGGGGCGAGTGAGACATGTATTTCGCCGTGGAGACTGGGAGCTTCTGTAGCCCGTGCGGGCTGTGGGGTCCTGGGCATGGTGTGTGCTGGGAGCAGATTCAGAGTCGGCACCGTGGACCCTCCGGTGGGCCCTGCCTGGCACAGTGCTGCGAGGGCACCAGGGGCCCTCTATGCCTTCCACTCCTCGTGGCTGCCATCAGCACCCCTGGTTCTGTGTGCTTAGCAGACTGTTTCGTGAGCTCAGGACATAGCGCAGTGGGTGAGGATGTCCCTTGCCCTCCAGCAGGCCTGGCTGATGAATGCCCGTGATTCTGTGCAGCTGAGGAGCGTGCTGGGAGGCGCGTCTTGAAGGGTAGAAGCCCACAGTTGTCAGACGATTGCAGCCTTTCCCAGTCCACGGGGAGGGGCGGGGGGGGGCAGTCCACTCCAGGACGCCATTGGGCCGTGTGGTCTGGGCACACAGTGGCAACAAGGATCCTCCAGAACCACGTCGAGATGACCAGTAATTGAGGTCTGACGTTATCCACGCTGGTCCTGACCAACAAGGGACACGATGCGCGGTACAGACATAACGTGAAATGTTCTAGAAGCCACCATCCCAAAAAGCGCACAAAGGCACAGGTGAAATTAGTGTTATTACCTGAGCGCATGGCCAACGTGAAGACAGTTGATGAGACCGTTCGTGTTTTTTCTCACTGAGTCTCTGAGACCCGGTGTGCGTGTTCACGGTGACATGTGTCACAGGGGACAAAACTGTCAGTGACGGTTTAAGTTCTGCAAACCAAGAGTTGGCAGGATCTGAGCGCGAGCATGGCTGGTGATGCGTTCTCTGTGGGCCGAACTCTCGGACGAGCCTTCAGATGCCGCACGCTCCTGGGACCTGGGACGGACTCCTCTGGCTCACCCGGGCCTTCTGCAGCTGACGGATGATGCTCTGCTCCGATCTCTGTCTCCCACAGTCGGAGCCGTGCCGAGGATGGACCCTGCCCCGGGCCTCATGGAGCAGCGTGGGGACGAGAAGACCTGGAGCCCTGAGCAAGAGCCTGAGCCGTGGCAAGCCCTCCCGGTCCTGTCCGAGCAGCAGTCCAAGGACGTGGAGCTGGTGCTGGCCTATGCTGCACCCATCCTCGACAAGCGCCAGACTTCGCGCCTCCTCCAGGAGGTGTCGGCCGTCCACCCGCTGCCCGCCCAGCCTCACCTCAAGAGGGTGCGGCCCAGCCGCGATGCCAGCCGACCTCATGCGCTGGAGCTGCTGCTGTGCCTGGCGGGGCCAGCTGCGGGTGCCAGATCGCTCGCTGAGCTCCTCCCGCAGCCAGCCGTGGACCCCCGTGGCCTGGGGCAGCCCTTCCTGGTGCCTGTGCCGGCCCGGCCGCCCCTGACCAGAGGCCAGTTCGAGGAGGCACGTGCCCACTGGCCCACGGCCTTCCACGAGGATAGGCAGGTGACTCGTGCCTTGGCCGGGCGGCTGTTCTCCGCGCAGGAGCAGACGGCGATGCAGGGCCACATGGAGCGGGCTGTGTGGGCCGCGCAGCAGGCGGCTGCGCGGGGCCTGAGGGCGGTGGGGGCTGTGGTGGTGGACCCGTCCTCTGGCCGCGTGCTGGCCACAGGCCACGACTGCAGCAACACGGCCAGCCCCCTGCTGCACGCCACCATGGTGTGCATTGACCTGGTGGCCCAGGGCCAGGGCCGTGGCGCCTATGACCTCGGCCCCTACCCTGCCTGCTCCTTCGCCCCAGCCGTCGCCCCCCTGGGCGTCCGTGTGGGCTCTGTGCGCAAGCTGGTCGAGGACGGGGACGTGCGTGCGGACAGCCTCCCCTACGTGTGCACCGGCTACGACCTCTACATCACCCGCGAGCCCTGTGCCATGTGCGCCATGGCCCTGGTGCATTCCCGCGTGCAGCGGGTCTTCTATGGGGTGCCCTCGCCCGACGGCGCCCTGGGTACCCGCTTCCGCATCCACGCCCGGCCTGACCTCAACCACCGCTTCCTGGTGTTCCGGGGGGTCCTGGAGGCCCAGTGCCGCCAGCTGGACCCTGGCTCGTAGGCGGCCGCCGTGCCCGCTGCCTTCTGGAGCTTGCTCTGCCGCCAACGGCTCAGCCTCCCCTCAGACCCCACTGGCAGGCCTCCGCCTCTCTCACTGTCGCCTAGGCAGGCCGTGATCCTGTGGGTTAGTGTCACGGACGATGCGCGTCTCCCACCTCGAAGCCAGACCCCACGCTGTTCCCACTGGTGTGTGGGGACGCGTTTCTGCCCTGACTGAGCTTTTCCCTGGGCTTGAGCTTCGTGGGGTCCAGCCTGGGCGGGGGGCTGGGCACTCGGACTTCTCCAGCCACCTTTTGCCCCAAGCCCGAGGGTCCGCTGGGAGAGAATCCCCTTTGTCCCGGGTATCAGGAAACGGGTTCTATTTGTGAAAATAAACAGCCCCAAACCAGGTTGGCGTCTGTTGACAGTGGCAGGGGACCATGGTGGCCAAGGGTACCTGGGTTGGGTGACCACTTCTGCCAAGGTTTGGGGTTTGTGCATGGGAAGGGGAGTTTCTGAGCCAGGTGGGGGAAGAGTGTGCCCCCCCTCCCCCCGGGGCGCCTCCCTGCCTGTGTCCTGGGTCTGGAAGGGTGTGGCTGGCCAGCAGGTATTTACACGAGGGCGCACCTGCCAGCCTGGAGTCAGCTCCCTCAAACGCTTTTTCGGTTGTCGTCCCATTTCCCATTCTTCATGGAGGGCCGGGGGGTCTGCCGCAGGGCCATCAGCACTAGAACCAACGTGGGTTTGTCTGGCAAATGTGCATTTTTGGATCACGGGGCCACTGTGGGGCCCAGTTCATCCCTGCTCTGAGCCTCCCCTTGAGCCCTAGGGGTCTTCTCCCAGCCCACACCAGCCCATGGGCACAGGGCTGGGGAGGGGTCTGCCCACAGGCCAGTGCCGTGGACGGGCAGGGGGTGGCTGTGAGCCCACCAGGCATGTGGGCACAGAGGACTGGGCCGGGCCAGAGAGGGTCTCCTGGGGAGGGGGGCGTGGACCCTGGGAGCTCAGTGTCGCTGGAACCTCGTCACCTAGACTGTGGGTGAGGAAGTCATCCGTGGGTTCCCATCCCAGTGAGGCAGGCATGGCCACATGAGCCCGGCTTATATCCTGGAGATGGCGTGCCTACCACAGGGCCCTGAGGGAGCCGGCAAAGTCCCCGCAGGTGTATGCATTGGGGGCAGCCTGCTCTCCAGGGCTCCTCCGTGACACCAGCTCCCCTGGTTCCGTGTAGGAAGGGTACTGGGTGCCAGGTGCGTCCTCAGCTGCCCCACTCGGGTTGTGGTGAGGTCCTCAGCTCTGTCAGCCTCCCAGGGACAAAGGTGCAGACCAGAGAAGCTGTGTGACTTGTGCAGTATTCCACAGCAGTGAGCGCGAACCCCGTTCTCAGTGGCCCTGAGGAGGTTCCTGGAGCTGTTCATGGATAAAGAGGAAGTTTAGGGGGGTCGGGGGGACAAGGAGGTGGGTGGGCCCACGGGGTCCCAGGAACATTTTGGTTCTGGCCGGGTGTGTTTGCGGCAGCAGCCCGACCCCTCTCCTTCCAGCACAGACGCTGCCTGGGGGGCTCTGAAGGTGGCAGATGGGCCTGGCCTTCAGGACCCAGGGTGGCCTGGAGGTGAGGCCTCTAGCTGGTGTTGCTGCTGAGCATGCAGCTGGGGTCGGGGTCCCCCGGCGGCCTCGGGGACCTCCTGACTATGGCTGTCTCCCCTCCAGGTGGCTGTAGGCTTCTGCCCCGCCCAGTTGTCACAGCGGAAATGTCTGGTGAGTCTCTCCCAGAGGCCCTGCAGTGGGGGATCCTCTGGGAAGTGTCCCCTAGTGGCTGGACCCACCCTAATACCCCCCGGGGGGGCACACACCCCTCTCCTCCTCCCGTGGAGGGTGCTGGGGTCACTTGCTCCCTCTGAGCCAGATGAGAGATAGATCCCCGTTTCCACGGCACTTGTCGGCCTGACCAGCGTTCTGCCTTGGGGCCCATTGGTTGTGGACGTCAACGTACTGTGTGAGGTGTGGGCGTCTGGGGTCATACCTACATGTGTCAGATGAGACTCTCACTTTCATGGTGTGCCCACCTCGTCCTGCTCAGAAGGAGGGAGGGAGTGTGCAGGTAAAGTGAGGGCGGCCCTGGGTCCCCAAGGCCACAGTGAAGCGTCAGGAGTGCACACCGTCCACGCACAGTCGCCCCATGCCTCTCCACCCCTGCATTCCTAGCATCTGCCCCTGTACGCAGGTGGAAGGGGGGGTAGGGCTCTGGGTGCCTGAGTTCTAAGTGTGCACAGAGCGTTGCCCCGGGACTTCTTATCTGCCGAGAAAACAGGGTTTCAGAGGGTGTGTGACTTGGTGGTGGGGTTCCCACCTCCTTGTCACAGCGCATGCTAGCAGCCTAACCGCTGGAAGCATCACCCCGTCCTTGCTGTGGGCTGCAGGAGGGGTGGGGTTCAGACGTCAGGGGAGGAGAGAGGTGCCAGGGGCCGAGGGAGCAGTGGGGGGCTGGGGGCCGTGGGCCAGGTGGGGTCCTTGTTGGGGTCTTCAACAGGAGCCTTGAAGGGTAGTGACCAGTGACCATGGCATGGAGGCTGTGAGTCCGTGCCGGGGAGGCCCTTTCGACAGGAGCCTTGAAGGGTAGTGACCAGTGACCATGGCATGGAGGCTGTGAGTCCGTGCCGGGGAGGCCCTTCTCCCATGTCTGATCGCGGGGGCTCAGAGCCGGCAAGCTCAGAGTGGGATCGACTCCCCTCTCTGCTCGGGCTTGGGACATGCTGTGGCTTCCTGTGTCATGTGGTAAATGCCTGTGGCCTCTCCGTGGCCAGTAAGGTGTGGTCTGCCTCCGCCTGTCCACCCCTCCAGCCCTGATCTTCCTGCTGCCTCTCGATCAGCTGGTACTCACACCGAGGCCCTCCCCCAGAACGCACTGGCCTGTCTTCTTTGTTTTCTGGAGTATTTGTTTAAATACCAACTTTTGCTGTGAGGGGCTAACCTAACGACTCTTTTTAAGCAAGCTTCACACGCGGCATGCAGCCCAGTGCAGGGCTTGAACTCACGGCCGTGAGATCAAGAGCTGAGCTGAGATCAAGGGTCAGATGCTTAACCGACTGAGCCCCCCAGGCGCCCCTGCCCTCCTCTTAGAGCTAGGCAACCCCCAGCACACACATCCCTGGTGCCCCTTTCCAGCACGGACGCAGCATTTTCCAGCACGCCACACTTGCTCATTCATTGTGATGATCGTTGGTCTCCCCCTGGCCAGGAGGGCAGCCCTCCTCTGTCTTTTGTTCACAGTCTGGCCCTCCGAGGTGCTCAGGAGATGTGTCCTGCCATACTGGTGATGTCGTTGAAAGGCTGAGGGGTGTCACTGACCCTACCATGCTGCAGGCTAAGTCCTATGCCCAAGAGACATGTTGAATCCTCACCCCTGTATCTGTGAAATAGGGTTTTATTGGGAAGCAGAGTCCTTGTGTGTATGTTAGTAAAGAGGAGCTCATGCTGAAGGAGGATGGCCACAATCCAACGATGGGTGTTCTCATAAAGACGCACTGGGGCGACGCGGCCGCACGCCGAGGGACGCCTGGAGCCCCCAGGAGCTGGGAGAGCCAGGAGGGACCATCCCCTGGAGCCCCCGGAGGGAGCGTGGCCCTGCCCCACCTCGACCTCCGACTTCTGGGCTCTGGGACCGGGGAGAATAAAGTTCTGTGGTTGGAACTCCCTGGCTGGTGGTCATTTGTCAGAGCTGCCCCAGGAAGCTTATGCATTCAGAGTCCCAGAATCTTCTCTGGAGTCGGGTGTTAACGGTATTTGGCTCTGCCAAGCTTATATTTGCATGTCTTCTGGCTGCTCTCAGGAATCACCATAGCAGAGTGATTTAAACCACTTTTTTCTGGGGCGACTGGGTGGCTCAGTCGGTGAAGCATCTGCCTTCTGCTCAGGTCATGATGCCAGGGTCCTGGGATCGAGCCTCGCATCTGCTCAGTGGGGGGTCTGCTTCTCTCTGTTCTTCTCGTTCCTCCATGTCCCTCTCCCTGCTCATGCTCTCTCTCTCTCAAATAAATAAAATCCTTAAAAAAAATAAAGCACATTTATCATTTCATGTCGTGAAGTCAGAAGTCCTAAAACTCAGGCGTGGGCAGGGCTGGTCCCCCGCCCCCGGTGTCTCCGGGAGACCCGGCTCCCACTTCTTCCTGGCCCACGGCTCCCCCCTCCATCCTCACCGCCAGCAGCGCGGGGTCTGCCCATCTCTGGGACTCCCACCCTCTGCCTCCCCCTCGTGAGGACCTCGTGAGGACGCCGGGAACCCAGGGTCACCCCCTCCTCGGGGCCGTGACAAGGCCCCCTCTGCCGCGTGAGGGGACACGTCCGCAGGTTGAGGACAGGGACGGGGATGTGTTCGGGGCTGTCATTGAGGCTCCCCGCCTGGTTTCGTTCCCTGGTGTTTTCTGTCCTTGCAGAAAAGGAGAACAACTTCCCGCCGTTGCCGAAGTTTATCCCCCTGAAGCCCTGTTTCTACCAGAACATCTCCGACGAGATCCCCATCGAGCACCAGCTTCTGGTGAAGAGAATCTATCGGCTGTGGCTGTGTGAGCCCTGGGGCAGGGGCGGGGCCTCCCTGTGCACCACTCAGACCCCGGCCCGGGACAGCCCACACCACAGTTTGCCCGAATTTTGGGCTGAACCTCGCCTTTCTAATACGGTGATGTCCCGAGTCCTCCTCTGGCTCCGTGGCTCCCATGCTGACCAGAGCCTCCGCCCGGCTCCCCTGGCGGGTGGGAGGGGTCCTGGCCCGCCACCCTCCGTCCCCGCTCACCCTCCTCGCCCCCTCCCCAGTCTACTGTGCCACCCTGGGGGTCAACCTCGTCGCCTGCCTGGCCTGGTGGATCGGTGGTGGCTCGGGGGCCAACGTTGGCCTGGCCTTGGTCTGGCTGCTGCTCTTCTCCCCCTGTGGCTACGTGTGCTGGTTCCGGCCTGTGTATAAGGCCTTCCGGTAAGTTGGGGCGTGGGGTGGGCTGCATCTCTGAGGGGGCCTCAGGGAGTGTCTGGTGCTCAGCACCGGCAGGAGCCAGATGCCTGACCACGCGCTCGGGGCCTGCGCCCTCGCCAGCCTGGTGTCTGGTGCACATGCCCAGAGCCGTTCTGTTCGGTTTGGGGACAGCTTATATCCAGAGGCTGCAGACTATGGTCAACGAGAGCCTGTTCTGTCTTTTAGTAACTAATTCATCTGTCTGCTCACCTACTCGTAGCAGCGTTTCTGGTGTCTTCAAAGGGTTGTGGAACCATCACTTCTGTGTAGTTCCAGAACATTCCATCACCCCCAAGGCAGCCCCGTCCCTGTCAGCTGGCATCCCCCAGCCCCCGCTCGCCCCCTACCCGTCCGCGGATGAGCCCGTTCCGGACGTGTCACCCACGTGGACTCACACCCCGTGTGGCCTTCTGTGTCTGGTTCCCTCCCTGAGCGTCGTGGGCTCAGGGTCCATCCCCGGGGCTGCGCGTGTGAGCGCCTCACTCCTGTTCTCGGCCGCGGGACGCTCCTGTCTGTGGACACTCGCCCCCAGTGGGCCCCCTGTTACTCAGGAGCTGCCGTGTTTGCTCCTAGATGGTTCCCGAATCCCGGGCTCTCAGAGTCCATCAGACAGCATCCCTGAAGCCCTCCTTGGCGACAAGGACTAGAAACCCACATGTGTGCTGGAGCTAGACAGGCCGTTCCTCCAGGTTCTGGGCTGGCTCCGGCAGCCTCGCTCAGGAATGCTCGGGGCCTGCTGACGGCCTGTGAGCAGCCCTGCCTCCTCCCACCACCCTCAGGGGCCTGCCCCTGTCCTGCTTCGGTGACCTGGAGGTGGCCTGCGCCGCGGCCCCTCGGCTGCTGCCCCCCGTCCTCCGGGGAGCACGCAGAGCCCCTTAAATCTGCGACACACCTTCCCCTGGGTTAACCTCCAGCACTCACGTGAGCGTTGTCGCTCGCACTGAGATCTCTCAGACCCCTTTGCAGCCAGGAATCTGTTGGCGCAGTGTTTCCCAGAGAAGCCGTGTCGTGGCCCTGTGGAGTTCAAGCCCAGGCTGAGCATGCGTGGGATGGCGTGTTCGGGTGGCCGCTTCTGGGGAGGGCGGCAGCCCCGTCCCCGCTGGTCCTGCCGCGCGTGGGCTGCCGTGACGGCTGTTCTCTCTCTCTCTCTAGAGCCGACAGCTCCTTCAACTTCATGGCGTTCTTCTTCATCTTTGGAGCCCAGTTTGTCTTGACCGTCCTCCAGGCGATTGGCTTCGCGGGATGGGGCGCATGGTGAGCCAGGCCCCCGGGAGCCCGGGCCGCAGCGCAGGGGTGTGACGCGCGTTCACTGTGGGACAGTAGAGCCCAAGCCTCCCAGGGTGTAAGAGAAGGCACGTGTGCCCTCGGGCGTGAGCTCTCAGGGTGGCACTGGTGGGGCTGGGGCTGGGGTCTGCTGCCCACGCCACCTGGGGCCTGCCCCTGAGGGTCCTGCCCGGGACGCACTCACGGGCCCCCTGGAAGGCTGGGAAGTGGGCCTGGGGGGTGTCTGGGAGGAGCAGCTCAGCAGACAGCACAAGGGCCTCCCTGGGATGGCCTCCTGTGACCCCGCCATCGAGGGAGAGCTGGTTTTTTGTTTGCTTTTAAGGTTTTATACCCAGTTCTGTGGTTGCTGTCACAGATTAGGACAAACTTAGTGACTTAAACAGTTACTTCACACTTCTGAGGTCAGGAGTCTGACGCGGGCCTCTTGGAACCAAAACCCTGGTGTGGGCAGGGCTGGTCCCCCCGGGGCCCCCAGGGAGACCCGGCTCTGGCCTTTTCCTGGCCCGCGGCCCCCCTCCATCCTCACCGCCAGGAGCGCGGGGTCTGCCCATCTCTGGGACTCCCACCCTCTGCCTCCCCCTTGTGAGGACCTCATGAGGACCTCGTGAGGACGCCAGGCCCCCTGGGAACCCAGGGTCACCCCTCCTCGGGGCCGTGACCAGGTTCCCTCTGGGGACATGTCCCAGGTCCCAGGATGAGGATGGGGGGCTGCTGGCTGGCCGTGGGCCGTGTCTTTGGTGTCGAGTGTCCTGTGGGTGACATCTGAGGCTGTGCGTGCGTGTGCTCGGCCCTGTCCATGCTCTGGAGTCCTCTCTGCTCAGGTGTGCCCCGTGTAGCCTCTCGGTTGGCATCCCTTAGGGTGTTCGCGGCCGCCTGAGTCTGCCCCTCGGCTCCTTCCTGTTGTCCGTCCCCTTCTCAAAGTCTACGAGTCACCTTCTGCTCTCCTCTGGGATTGTTCCCAGCACAGCCTTCCCCTGTTGCTTCCTTCCTGCCCCGTAGCAGATGAGCTCTGCGTGGACCCTCGGTATCGAGTTTCTTCTTGGCTGATGCCCTCCCAAATCTGGGTCTGGAGGGCCAGTGAGGGGCTGTCTTGGGGTCCCAGGTGCGGGGATGTGCCGGGAGGACCCCCAGGGCTCAGCAGACGGTCGACCCCACAGCTGTGGTTCATACAGAGAGGATAGGAAGCCAGATGAGCTCAGGGCAGAGGCGTGGGGGGCGGGGGCGGGGACACCAGGCGCGAGCTTCCAGAGTCCTCTCCCGGGGCGTCCCACAGGACGCACTTAGCTCCCCCCAAACGAGACGGGACTGCGTGTGTGAGGCGTGGTCTCCAGGGGGCGGCAGAGACCCAGCGCCCGGTTCTCTGTGGGGGTTGGTCTCGCGGGGCCCCCTGCCTGGCTTGGGCCGGGACCCCAGACTCCGGGAGGGGAGCAGGTGCTCAGCCCGAACCTCGTGTCTGCACAGACAGTTCAGGGACCCGCGCCCCCCAGCAGCGAGGGTGGTGGGAGCCCGGAGTCCGGTTCCAGACGCCGCCGAGGGCCAGCCTTGGGAGCCGCCCTCTGGGGAGGGAAGGCTCAGGCGCGCTGTGCGAGCTCTTTTCTGCCCAGTGCCATGCCACCCTGGTTTCCACACTGGACAGGCGTGGTGTGCCCTTTCTTCGGGGGCTGGCTTGCAGAAAGGGGACTCCAGGAGTTTTCCTTCCTGCTGGAATGCGGGCCAAACGGCAGGGGACAGGTGACCAACCAGCTGGTGAGCTTGGGCAAAGAGCTGCTCTGAAGGGTTTTTCCTCTCCTGAAAAGTCAGGAGGAGGAGACCACAGCACCTGCGGTCGGGGCTGTAGCCACATCCGCTCTCGTAAAAGGCTTGTCATCGCTCTCATTCTTTTGCTAGGTACTGGCTTGCACAGGTGGGGCGGGGCCGGTGGGCGAGAGTCTGGGGAGGCCCCACTGGTTCAGAGCCCCTCGGCCTTCCCAGGGCTCAGTGCAGGGAATGGGGAGCTGGCCTGCCAAACCACATTCCCTTTGGAAACCCGGCCCAGGGTCTTGCCGCCCTCCTGGCCCTTGGTGGCCGGCAGGCTCGTGGCCCACCACCAGGGGGCAGGTGGACTGCAGCTGCGGCCGGCCGGGCTCTGCTCTCGGCCTTCCACGTGGGGCAGACACCCAGCAGCCACCAGTACCATTTCCCCAGGGCGTCAGGCTCATCCTCGGAGGGGATGCTCCGCGACACTCGTGTGCACGGGAGACCACAGTTCTGCTTCACGCCTAAGAAACCAACCTTGATTCCTTCACGCCCCCCTCTTGCTTAAATTCTGGCTTTTAAGTGGGCTCTTTAGGGGCACCTGGCCGGCTCAGTCGGTGGAGCGTGTGACTCTTAACTCTCAAGGTTGAGAGTTCCAGCCCCACATGGGGCGTGGAGCCTACTTGAAAGTGTAAAAAATTAGAGCAACTCTTTAAATTACCATCTATTTATTTCCAAGCGATGTGTTTTATGAATGGGTTTACGATTGCACTCACAACGTGCAGCCTGCAGACGATCCCCTCCGGGGGCAGCGGCTACATTCTCTTGGCCATCGCCTGGCAGAGGTCGAGAAAGGCTCTCCCCAGAGGAGCAGAGGAAGCTGGAAGAAGAGTTGCTGGTAGAGGCGAATCGTATGCTCTGACACCCCGTTTCCTGTGGGGTCTCTGGTTCACGCTCCAGGCATGTGTGTCCCCCATAGATTCGGTTACTTGGAGCGTGCCCAGTTCGGTTCCAGTGCTCCTTGGGGCAGAGGGGACCCCCGAGCTGCTTCCACCCCTCCTTCTGACTCTCCAGCCCCCAACTCCTCAGACTGCTCCTGGAACCTCCAGGGCAAGACCTTGGAGGGAGGGGCAGAGAGCAGGAGGCTCTGGGGCCTGGGCCGAGCCCTGGGGTGAGGCCAGGGTGAGGGTGCCGACCTTCCCCCACAGCGGGAGACGGTAGGAGGGAGACCCGGCGCTGTGTACCTGGAGACAGGGAGTGACTGAGCCAGCCAGGCGCCCCGTAATAGGGTTTTCATGTCGGGCCACTTTGGGGTTTTCAGGAAGGTGCAGAGACAGGACAGAGTGCGGTGGTCACGCCCGTCGGCATCTGATGTCTCTGCTGCCCCCAGAGGTCAGTGCGGGCCTGGCGCTGCTGTCCCGATGGCTGGCTGTCCTTGGAGCCCCCACGTTTCTATGAATGTCCTTCTGTTCAGGATTCCACGTGGCATTGAACTACATTTTGCTTCGGCAGTATGTCCAGATGGGGTGTGCATGCTTCTGCGGGTCGGTTTCTCTCTCAGGCTCTCCCCAGTCTTTGCGCCCCTCTCTTCTTTCTAGTTGATTTATGAGAGAGGGAGGCTTCCCCCAATGTCCTGCACTTCCTTGCAGTTTGGTTTTTAAAATAATGGCTTTAGCGAGCTACACGTTACAGACCAGAAGTTCACTCTTAACGGTGAACAGCTCAGGGGTTTTAGTGCATCCACAAGGTTGTGCAACCATCATTTCTATTTAGTTCAAGAATGTTCTGTCAACCCCAGAGCACCTTGCCCCCATCAGCCGTCACCCCCTCCCCACCCCCCAGCCCCCAGGGGCCCCCTTCCCGTCCATCGATGAGCCCGTTTCGGATGTGTCACCCACGTGGACTCACACCCCGTGTGGCCTTCTGTGTCTGGTTCCCTCCCTGAGCGTCTTGGGCTCGGGGTCCGTCCCCGGGGCTGCACGTGTGGGTGCCTCGCTCCTGTCTGTGGCCGAGGGACGCTCCAGTGCGTGGGGGACATGCTGTGTGCTTCCATCCATGCCGATGGGCCCCGGGGGGGGTCTATGCAAGCCGCTCTTGTTGGTAGCGTGGCTGTGACACGTGTCTCTGCACATCGTGTGTGCGCCAGTTGCGGGACTGCTTGGGGATGCGTCAGCTGGGCTGACCTGGGGAGTTGCCAGACTCCTCAGATCTCGCGTCTCCACTCCGTCTTTTCGCATGCCCTGTTGACCTCTCCCTGGTTCCAGTCCCACGAGCTCCGGCCTGAGCAGCTCTGGGGGAGCCCCTGGAGCCCCTCATCCCCTCCCTGAGCCCTGCCCCCCATCTCCATGCCTCTCTGCATCCTCCCTGCTCCCCACCGCGGATGCCTTGGCCTCTTCCTGACGCAGATGGCATGCAGCAGGCTCCGTCGCTCACCCAGGTGTAGCTGACGGAGGCCAGAGCCTGAGTGCTGTCGCCCAGGGTCATACCTAAAACGTTTCTCACCCCTCCCTGGTCCTGGGGGGAGGCTGGTGCTGTGGAGCAGGCTCCCTGTCCCGCATTCCTGCCTGTGGGTGCCTTCACTTCCCCCAGACCACAGAGCTCAGGCTGGGGCCTCTGCCCGCCCAGCCCCTCTCCAGTGCCCCAGACCTGTTGGAAGGACACTAGTCCCCAGAGTGACACCCCTCCTCCCTGCAGAGCCAGTGTTTCTCCCCTCCTGGGAGCCTCCAACCACCCAGCACCCGCCTGGGCCCTCCGGCTGCCTGGCTGTACCTCACACCGACTCCCTGACCCGGCTGAGGCCCCCCCGGTGGCTTTCCCAGTCCCCCTAGGCTGAGTGGGATCGGGCGGTGGTCTGTCCCCAGCTCCCAGCACAGAATGAGCCTGTGGCCCAGGGGATCCTTGGCTGTCCCCACGTATGCACTTGGGTGGGGAGGACACGCAGCTTCCCTTCCATTGGGAGCGTGGCAGGGTCTCTGGAAGATGCTTACAAGAAACCCATGCGTGCTGAGTGCACCCCAGTACTTGGCCTGCTACCCAAGGCGTGAACAGACGCTCGCACACAAGCGCAGGCAGCCTCCGGAGACACAGGACTTGGCTTCGTGTGAACTGGGCGGCCGCAGGTGCGTCACGGCTCCGGCGTGGGGCGTGGCAGGGCTCCCGTGGGGGCGGCTGGACGCAGCCTTCTGCTTCTCGGGGATGATGCTCCTGCAGGGCTCTAGGTGGCAGTGCGCGTGTGGCCGGGGGGGTTGGAAACAGCCCGGGTGGACGGGGGCCTGGCTGGCTGATCCGTGGATGTGGCCGCATGGCGGGCTCCTGGAACAGAGGGACGCCCGTGGAACAGCTGGGAAGCCTGAATAAAGCACGTGGGTTAGTTAGTAATAGCAAACTAGTGCTAACTTCCAAGTTACCATACATTCTCCTAAGTTCTTGAAGGTTGAGCTATGTATTTTTATTACCTGTTCAGAAAAATAAAATCGCAAAATACACTTATTTCCCACCTCTCGCCCCAAGAGGCAAGTGTGGATGTTCGTCCGCGTGTGTACGGGACAAAACAGGTCCCGTGGGGTCTTGCTGTACTTACTGCTCTTTAACTCTTTTCCCCTCTTGCTTCCTCAACACCTGCTTGGCATGCCGTCGAGTGGCTGTGGCACACCGGACACCTGTGTTCTTTCCAGCCGGTGAACATTTAGGATACTCCCGGGTTTTCACAAAGACAAGAAATTCTGTGGCGTGAATTCTTAGAAGGAGGAGAGCTGGGTGCAAGAGATGAGCACGTAGGGCTTTTTGTAGGTACCTGCCACTGTCCCCGCAGAGGGACATGCTCCCACCAGGGCAGGGTTCCTCTCCTCAGCCCCTTGCACACACCACACTCGCCTGCGTGGCAGGGGAACGCAGAGACCCGGTTCTAACGTGTGTTCCTTGTTGCTGGGTTTGAGCATCGTTTCGTGTATTCACCGGGCCCTGCAAGTCCTCGTACCAATTGCCCATTTCCCTGCTAATCGTTTATTTTTTTCTTGTTGATTTGTTGGTGCTCTTTACATATAGAGGATGCTGGGCCCTTGTTTGGTCGACGTGCTGGCACCCATGCTCTCTCTTGCCCCTTGCAGTGGTTGGCTGGCGGCAATTGGGTTTTTCCAGACGAGTGTCGGAGCCGCTGTGGTCATGCTGCTTCCAGCCATCATGTTCTCCATGTCAGCTGCCATGATGGCCGTTGCGATCCTAAAGGTAAGGCCTCTGGGTCCTGGGACTGCCAGCATCTTCCCATGCCTCCCGTTGCCTGAGTCCCCGAGTTCTGGGGGCTCATCTCATCCCTGTTTGAGGAGCGAGAGACCGAATGTCCGGGAACGAGCTGACCTCTGCTCAGGCACGCCTGGGGAAACAGCATAGTGTGTGACCCCGGGTGTGCTCCACGCTGCCCGATTTGGCCGCCACTAGACACTTGCCGCCCTGTACAGTTAAATTCACATTAAGTAAAATCAAGTAAAACTGAAAACCCAGGGGCATCCGCTACACCCACCTCATCTCAAGTATTTGCTGGCTGCGTGGGGCTGGTGGGCCGTCTCCACCGTCACGGAAAGTTCTCGTGGGCAGTACGGACCCGGGTGCTTGGAGACTGCAGCAGAACACTCGTGCTGCATCCACGTGGAAGCTGGTGGGCAGCCGTGGGCTCTCCCGGGGGTGGACACCAGGCCTGCAGCCCTCAGGTCTTGGTCAGAGCCTGTGGATGTGCGTGGAGTCCCCACAGGAAAGCGGAGGGACAGGGCATCACTCCAGCACTGCGCCCCAGCACGGGCTGTGTGGTGGGCTGTGATTGGATCTCTTTAGCCTTTTGCCACGAGATTCTAGCTGTGAAAGCCCGTTTCCTGGCTTATGTAGGCTTTCTCCCCCTGCACCCGGCTGTGTGGGAAGACAGGAGCATTGTTCCATGCCCCCCATATGTGCACCCCAAAGGCTTTCAGCTGTGTGGACAGTTGGGGGCGGGGAGGGGACTGCAGAAACCACAAAGGAGACACACAGTGAGTGAATCTAAACAGGGTTCCGGGATCAAGCCCACACAGGAGCTGACTCTTTCCAATTGGGGACTTCTGTTCAGCAGCAAACATCCTAAGTTAGAAAGCAAATACTAACTGAAAATGCCTATAGGGCTAGAAAGGAAAGATTTATGGACTCAAATAGAGTGTTCTTCCTAAACAATGGGAGGACCCCTGTGTCCATCCGTGGGACCAGGCCCAGGTGCAGGGATGTGCCGGGAGGACCCCCAGGGCTCGGCAGACAGTCGACCCCATGGCTGTGGTTCATACAGAGAGGATAGGAAGCCAGATGAGCTCAGGGCAGAGGCGTGGGGGCGGGGGCGGGGACACCAGGCACGAGCTTCCAGAGTCCTCTCCCGGGGCGTCCCACAGGACGCGCTTAGCTCCCCCCAAACGAGACGGGACCGCGTGTGTGAGGCGTGGTCTCCAGGGGGCGGCAGAGACCCAGCGCCCGGTTCTCTGCGGGGGTCGGTCTCACGGGCCCTTCTGCCCGGCTTGGGCCCGGACTCCAGACTCCGGGAGGGGAGCAGGTGCTCAGCCCGAACCTCGTGTCTGCACAGACGGTTCAGGGACCCGAGCCCCCCAGCAGCGAGGGTGGTGGTGGGAGCCCGGAGTCCAGTTCCAGACGCCGCCGAGGGCCAGCCTTGTGAGCCAGCCTCTGGGGAGGGAAGTCTCAGGCGCGCCGTGCGAGCTTTCTCTTGCACACCCCCTACTCCCACTGAGAGGGGTCGGAGAGACATGTTTAATAGTCATGCGGGAGAAGAAAGATCCCTGTGAGAAACGGGGAAAGCGTTCAGCTTCACTGGTCATCAGGAGCGTCCAGTTAAAATGCCATTTTTCACTTGCTGAGTTTTCCAGCGCTAGAGTTTCTAGCGCTGCCCCATGTTCCCCAAGGTGCAGTGGGGAGTCAGTCCTTCCTGGGGGCGTCTTCCTAGGAGACTATGGGCCACATACGAGACGCAAGTGTCAGGTGGGTGGCCCGAGAGCCTGGCCCCGGAGCTGGGGAGGAGAGCAGTGCTGGTGGCCACACACGTCAGCAGCGGGGGGACCGTGGTCGTAGATCAGGCAGGGCCCTCTGAGTCGGCCCATGTCGGTTTTGGTGCATTTTCTGACGTGTCCGCCAAGATGTTTTTATGACTTCTGTCATTCACCCGAGACGGCCTGCTTTGAACACAAGCTGGTCTCTTGTCGCCGCACACACGCTCAGTTTGGATTCTCTCTCCTCTGCCTCCCCATCCTCTGCCCTGCAGGTGCACAGGATCTATCGGGGGGCTGGCGGAAGCTTCCAGAAGGCGCAGACCGAGTGGAACACAGGAGCTTGGCGGAACCCACCGTCTCGAGAGGCTCAGTACAACAACTTCTCGGGAAATACCCTGCCCGAGTACCCCACTGTGCCCAGCTACCCGGCAGCCGGCAGCCAGTGGCCATAGAGGGGCCGGCTGGCCCCGCTGCCCGCCCCCCTCCCCTCCCCTGGCCAGGGCGGCGGAGCCTGTGAGCACTCGGGGACCCGCACTCGTGTTTGTCTTGTCTTCGGCAGTGAGGTCCTCGCGAGCACCACCCAGAAACTGTCCAGCCTGTGCCGCCTGGCAGGACACCCCCCGTGCTGTGCAGCATACCCCCTCCTCTGGAGGTCTCTGGACACCCACAGGCCTCCCCAGGGAGAAGGGGCAGCAGGCCAGCCGCCTGACTTCCAGAGCTGATGGCACGGAGAGGGACTCCACCAGGGCGTTACCCTCAGCCCTTCTCCTTCCCTCCTTCCCGTCCCCATGGGCGACGGAGGGGCTTGGCCGGGTCCTCCGTGTTCTTGTACTTTGTGTCCCTGTCCACCTGCAGCCAGAGGGCTCTTGTGGACAGCCCTGCGGGGTCGGCCAGAGGCTGATGAGCCGCCTGGGCACCATGATCTGAGCCCCTGTCCATCTGTCTGTCTGCCCCATGGGCTCTGTGCGGGGCCGTTGGCCTTCCTGCCCACAGTGGTTGTCTTCGTGGGAACGTCGAGCGGACCCCTGTTGAGATCTGAAGGCTGGGGTGGAACCCCTTTGTGGGGACAGGGGCCGTGGGGATCTGAAGGCTGGGGCGGAACCCCTTTGGGGGCCGGGGCCAGATCTCCCCTCTGTGCAAATGCAGGGAAAGCCTCAGCAGCAGGCAGAGCGGGTGGGCCGGCTGCTCGGAGCCCACGGCCACACAGCGAGCTGCAGGAAGCAGGAGACTGGGTTTCTCAGCAGAGTGGCCTTCTAGAAGTTAAGATGTGACAAACCTGTGCCTTAGCGAGCAATCTAAACGATAGGTCACCTCCCTCCGGCTTTCGTAGCTCCTTCTGAGACGAAGGACTGGAATGTTCCGCGGGGATCTCAGCAGCATGCCTGTGAGCTGACCGGCCGGAGGAGCCCTCGTTGCCTCCTAGCCCTTGCTGGTCAGGCTCCCCAGGCGCCCCGAATGCTGCCCCTCGGCTCCCGGCTGGCCGGCTCGGGGTAGGACAGGGACCCTCTGTGTCACACACTGCCGCGCCGGACGCCAGCCTCTCCAGAAGCCCGGACCAGCCAGCCTTGTTCTTTGCGCTCCACACCATGCTTGCTTTGGCTGCTTGTGCTGGGCGCCATGTGTCCAAAGGTGGCCATGGTTCCTGAGCACATGCCCGGGCCTGGGTCCCCTCGGGTCTCAAGCTGTGGGTCTCCCGGGTGTCCCTGAACACCCCCTAGCCAGCCTCTGTGACCGAGAGGCATGCGCTGCACTGACTGTGGGGCCGAGTCCCCTGCTGCACGCGGGACTGAGCAGGTGTGGCCCCAGGTAGGAGGACCGCACGCGCATCCACCTTTGTTACTTCGTAGTGGGTTTTGTTATGGGAGAGTATCCTGGAAATAAATCCTATAGTCCTTCCTGCATCACGGGGCCTCTGCGGGGCTGTTAGGGGCGTGTGCGTCTGTGGCCCTGCCACACGCCGCCCCTGCCTGTCACCCTGCCCCACACAGCATCGCCCTCATGTCCTCTGAGCCACCACAGTGCGTTTACTTCATGCTTTTCCTTTCAGTCAACTTGCTTTTTTAATGCTCCACTGTTTTAACTTGAAAAAGGGATGTGTACAGAAAATGAGAAACCAGCATCACTTGCCCCAAAGGAAAAAATGGTAGACGTGGCTGGAAGAGAAACAGGAGGGCCTCACAGAAGCCCAGTTGCAGGGGCCTCCCCAGGGCTCACGGTGTGGATACCCCACGTGGGCATGGGAGGGAGGACAGGAGGCTTTGCCCCCACAGGAAGGGGACTAGATCCACAGAGAGAAACCAAACAGCCCCAAGCAAATAGCACGGGTTGCATTGTGTCCTCCCCCACCCCCCCCCATTCACGTGTTGACATCCTAGCGCCCCACAGGTCAGAATGGGAAATTATTCGGAAATGGGGTGGTCGCAAGGGTACTTAGTTAAGGTGAGTAGGGTGGGCCCTAAAGTAATGGCAGGTGTCCTTACAAAAAGGGGATGTGTGGACCCAGACAGGCAGGGAGAAGCCCTGTGAAGACGGGGCCGAGATGACCGGTGGACCCCCGTCCCCCCTGAAGCTGGGGAGCTTGGGACAGGCTCTACCTCAGCAGGAACCAGCCCTGCAACGCTTCTTGGGCTGTGCGTTCCCGAGCTGTGAGGGTTAGGGTTGAGGCTGCCCCAGGAAGGCCCCCCCCAGATGCTAGAGCAGTGAGGAGGTGGGGTGGCGTGTGCTGTGGGCACGCACCTGTTGATGTGTGGGACGCGGATTGCAGGGGTAGACAGGGAGTGGGTGTCCCTGGGCTGGGTGGGGGACCGGACTGGTGACAGGGCAGGAAGGGGGGGAAACGGCCTGGGTGCAGCGATGTGTGTGCCCTGAGCTCCCAGGTGACCTGTAAGGACGCAGGATGGGGCTGGAGTTGAGAGGCCAAAGCCCAAGTTGAGAAAGGGATCCTTTGTGTGGGCGGCCGCATCAAAGAACCACAGACTCAGGGTTGAAGCCACAGGGGTCTCTCCTCCCACCTTCTGGGGGGCAGAGCTGGGATCCACAGCAGGATGCTGGCAGCATCACCTAGGACCATGGACTGGGGGGCTCAGGGCTCCCACATCCTGGGGGCCAGATGTCTGAGGTATCAGTGTTCACGGGGCGGTGTCCCCTCTGCAGCCTCCAGGGAAGGGCCCTCCCTGCCTCTCCCAGGTGAATACTAATACTCTATTAGAATTTAAGACAAAATTTAAAAACATTTGTTAATGTCATCTAAAAATCTGTTCATTACGCTTCAACATTAAAATTTTTTTTTTTTTTTTTTTTTTAAGGAAAAGGGGTGAGTGGCATTCTTCATTTTTGCAGAGAGGGTGGCTGGGTTCTCTCTGTTGTGACCTGTTTGGGCCCGATGTAAAGATTGGGGGCAAAAGGTCTACTGGAGACAAGTGCGCAGGGGTCAGTAGGGAGGCATCAATGAGCCAGTCACAGCCGCGGGCAGCTGAGGCTCAGTCCCTCTGGGACCCTTTGGAAGGCACAGACCGAGTCTCAGGCTGTCCCTCCGTGTTTGGGGGATGGAGGGCCTGGGCTCTGCGCTCAGGTGGAGCGTGGTGGGTGCTGGTCTGTGTGCGTGTATGGATGTGTGCATACCTCTGTGTGTTTTGTAACAAGGTGAATTGTGTACCCTTCTGTTCGTATGTTGAAGTCCTAGCCCCCAGGACCCCAGGAGGTGACCTTCTTTGGAAACAGGGTCATTGGAGTAATTTTTCAAGGTAAGGTGAGACCACAAGGCATAGAGTGGTTCCAATCCAATATGACAATAAAAAGGGGACACGTGGGCCCAGACAGGCAGGGAGAAGCCCCGTGAAGGTGGGGGAGCCTGGGACAGGTTCTCCCTCAGCAGGAACCAAACTTGTGACCCCTTGTCCTCGGACAGGTACGGGGGGCTGGAATCTCCACGTATCTTTCCGGGGATCACAGTTCAACCCGCAACAGTGGCCAATCTGGGTCCACATCTGTGGGAGTTTTCCTGGGACTGCCACATCCAAGTACCACAAACTGGGTGGCCTGAAACAATTCATCCTCCTAAATTCTGGAACCCAGAAGCCTGAAATCAAGGTGTGGGGCCGCACTCCCTCTGGAGGCTCCAGGGGAGGGTCCCTCCAGCTTCTCCCAGCTCCTGGGGCTCTAGAGGTCCCTCGGCCTGTGGTTGACCCCCTCCAGTGTCCACTTTCTCTTTGTTTTCCTCCTTTAAAAAAAAAAAGATTAGGGGCTCCTGGCTGGCTCAGTTGTTAAGCATCTGCCTTCAGCTCAGGTCATGATCCTGGGGTCCTGGGATCGAGCCCCACATTGGGCTCCCTGCTCAGCGGGAAGCCTGCTTCTCCCTCTCCCACTCCCCCTGCTTGTGTTCCCTCTCTTGCTGTGTCTGTCTCTCTGTCAAAATAAATAAAACCTTAAAAAAAAAAAATTTAGAGGGAATGAGCACGTGTGGGGGAGGGGCAGAGGGAGGGGCTGAGGGTGAGAATCTCCAGCCGACACCGTGCTGAGTGCAGAGCCTGACGAGGGGCTCGATCCCAGGACCCCGAGATCCTGACCTGAGCCCCAGCTGAGTCAGGTGCTTCACCGACTGAGCCACTCAGTTGCCCCACATATCTTCTTATAACAACACCAGCCATTGAGTTAGGGCCCACCTCAATCCAGCGTGACCTCGTCTGAATTCAACTCATCACCTCCACAGAGACCCTATTTCCAAATAAGGTCCCATTTTGAGTTTCCAGGTGGATGTGCGTTTGGAGGAGACACCACTCAACTCTGTGCCTCGCCCAGGCCTTGGCCCCCTAGGAGTGGGGTCAGGGAACTCCTCATCTGGGATCTTTGGTGACAGGTGACACATTGCCCGTCCCCTGCTCAGGTTTGCTGGGACTTTCCCGGTTTTAGCACGGAGGGTCCCAGGAGGCCTGGGCGCACCGGGCGCTTGTGCACCTACAATGTGTCTCAGCACCGCGGGAGGCAGACGCCTGCGAAGCCACACAAGGCAGACGACCACCACCGTCTGGGACCCCTCCTGCTCAGCAACCCCAGAGATGGAGCTGGATGGGCTTGCTCTGGGCCAATCAGAGGCGGCTGGGGGGTCACATGGTACAGACCTGGTGGCTGGGATCCGTTCTCAAGAGGACAGGAGACCCCCGGGGTGGGGAGTTCCAACCAGGAGCTCCTGCGCTCTCTCCCACAGACTGCTGGGCTTCTGCTCACGGGCTACCCCTTGCTGCCGCTTGCGTGTCTTCTGGCCCCGGCTTCCCCTCCTGAGCTCACACCATCCCGCGAGAACGTTGACCTGCCCCAGCTCTGAATACACATTCTCTTCCACCACGGCGGCTGGCCTGGGATGGGGGTGCTGGGCCACCCTCAGAACAGGGGGAGCCGGCGCTACCCAGCAGTGGGGGGCTGCAGCATTGCAGGTGCGAAGCCAGGGGACCATGGGCAAGTCATCTTTCCTTTGTAAACCTGTTTCCACTTCTCGAAAATGGGAATGTGCCCGTCTGCCTCCCTGCCTCACGGTGGGGGCCGGGGGGAGAGGCCTGGCTGCTGGGAGCACGAATCCAACTCAATTCCACAAAAGTGAACCAGGGCACCTGCTTGTGTCAGTGGGCTGGCCTGTTCCTGTCCCCCCAGGGTCTCTCCAGGGAGATGGGCCTGCCTCCTCCAGGGGTAAGGGAACACAAGGGGTCGCTGCCTGCCCACCTCCTCCCTGAAATCCAACAGCTGTTTGGGATTTATGGGGAGGCTGGGATTTCGTTTGGCTTTCCCAAGTGGGGGAATGGGCAATGGGGTAACCAGCTGAACCTCTTTACAAGGTTCTTACTGCACTGAGAGCCCCAACGGGCCCTTTCCCGCACCAGCTTCCCCAAAAATGGTGTCCGCATGATCAAAGATAGAAAGGGGCAGGCACCTGCGGGCCACATTCAAAGTGGGTTAAAAAAGGGGAAGCACAAAGGCTGTTTGCTATTTCAAAGACTCCAAGTGATTTGAGAGAGAGAGAGATGTTCAGCTGACAATTTTTTTTAAACATTTTATTTATTCATTTGAGACACAGAGATACAGAGAGAGAGAGAGAGCGTGAGCAGGGGGAGAGGCAGAGGCAGAGGGAGAGGGAGAAGCAGGCTCCCTACTGAGCCAGGAGCCTGATGTGGGGCTTGATCCCAGGAAGCTGGCAGCCGCTTAACCATTTCAGCTGACAATTCTTTATTCGTGAGTTCATGAATTCCCATGATATACCTGAGGGGGTATGGAGAGTCCCTCCTTACAGACGAGGATTCGGGGGACCAGAGAGGGCCAGCAACCCACACAGAGTCACATAGCCTTTTACTGGCACCACCCCAGCCTTGGCCTCACTTTCCATGTTCTTTCGGCTGCCTGGGATGCTGCTTTTTACAGGGGCAAGGCTGCAGCTCCGATTTAAAGCTCAAATACCTCTAGAGGAGAAGCAACTGTGCCTCTTGACCCCCTGGGAGTCGAGCACTGGAGAGCAGATTTCCCGAAGAAGTGAGAGAGGGGGCCAGGAGTTCTGACGAAATAAAACCCCAATTCTTCAGAATCTGGGAGGACTGCGAAGTTCACTGGTGCATTCTTTCATTCATTCATTCGCCACACACAGTGACCACACACAGACTGAGTGCCCACTGGGTGCACAGACGCAGCAGTGAGCTAAAGCAGATGTGGTCCCTGGCCTGGTGTCGCTGGTGGACAGGGTGGCTTCCCCCCTTCCCCTTCCTTCCTCACTTCCTTTCCCGTTCCTTCCTCACTTCCTCTCTTTCCTAGTAATCCACTGAGCAACTGTCAAGAGCTTGTATTTTGGAGGAGGCTGATTTTAGGCAAACACAGTTCTTCGTGGGAAGGCTTGGGCCGGAGAGGGTCAGGATCCAGTGAGAAAGAACAGCACGGGGATGTGGCCTGGGCTTCCTGGAGGTGGTGGCATTGCACGTGAGACTGGAAAAGGACAGGACACAGGGTTGCCAAGAGCGCTGGCTCCGGGAGTCCCAAACAGACCAGGTTCAGCCCCTGGCTGCTGGCAAAATCCAAAGGTAGAGAAACGAGCGGTGGTAAAACACATTTATTTCAGGGAGGCCGACACTGGGAAGACAGCGGACTCATGTCTCCAGACTGTCTCCCAAACGGGGAAAATACTGCCAGGTTTCTAAAAGGAGACTGTGGGAGGCAGGCCCGTGGGTCGTGCGGGTGGGCAGTCACGTCCAGCCCATCAGGGTCCTGCTGGCTCAGGGCAGTCCTTACTGCTCCTGAGGGGGCAGCTCTGGATCCCATCAGGGGACGCTTCGCCTGCAGGGTCTTTTGTCCGAGGTCAGAGAGAAGCCGGCAAGAACTTAGCGAGAAAGTACAGACTGAGGTGGTTAGTGGTGGCGGCTGGCGTCCTCGGCCCCCAAGGCCAGCCTCTCCAAGGACCTGGCTTGGCCGCCCACCGCACCCTGCCGCTGGCCCTTCCAGCTTGAGCCTCCGTCCCACCCCCTTTCCCGAGCCTCCCGTCTGGCCACCACCAGCAGGACCACAGCCCGAGCATCTGATCCCATCTACGTCCTCGTGTCCGGCTGAGCTCGGGGTCGCTCTGGCCCACGCTGCCTCACTGGACCTCCTGAAACCGCCTGAGTGCCCGCAGGCCTGGGGACTCCCGGGGAGGCCCGATCGGCGTTCCACCCTGCAGGGGGGCCTGCGTGGGTGGGCCTGCCCCGCGCGCCGCCCACCGCCCCGGCCCGCCGCCCGCGGGCTCCAGCCGGCCGTGCGAGCCCTACCCCGACGCCACCACCCCGAGGCCCCGCCCCGCCGCCCCGCCCCCTCCCTGCGCCACCGCCCGGCAGTGACGTCAGGTGGCGAGACCGTGACGTCACAGAAGCGCGGCGGGGCGGCCGGCCACGCGTCGCCATGGCAACGGCGGGCGGGCCCGGGCGAATGGCGGGAGCCCCGCCCCCCAGGAGGGCGGAGGGGGCCCGGCTCCTTCCTCCCACGCGCGCGCGCGCCCCACCCCACCCCACCCGGCGGGTCGCGCGCCTCCGGGAACCCCCGCAGGCCGCGGCCTGGCCCTCCCGGAGCGGCCGCAAAGCGCGGCAGCCGTCGTGCGGCGGCGCCCGCGGCCGCCAAGCCCCGCCCCGCGCTGAGGCGCCGTGCGTCCCGGGCCCGACGGCGGCTGCGCAGTGCGCGCGGGCCCTCCCCCGACGCCGGGGCGTAAGCGCGGGCCGCGGCGACGCTGCGAGACCGGGGCGAGCCGGGCGCCCGCGCGGCGGGGAGGGCCCGCGCCAACATGCGGAGGCCGGCGGCGGCGGCGGCGGCGGTGCGGGAGCGGGAACGGGGGCCCGAGCGGGCGCTGGAGCCGGAGCCGCAGCGCGAGCGGGGCCCGCAACAGGGCCCCGCGCCGCGCTGCTGAGGGAGCCCGGGACGCTGCCCGGCCGGCCGCGGGCCACGGCGGAGGCCCCGAGGTAAGGACGCGCGCGCCCTCGCCGCTGTCACGGCCACGCGCCCGGGCCGCCGCGCCCTGCGGACCCCCACCCTCGCTGCCCGGTCCCCCCACCCCCCTCGCCCGCCCTCCGGCCCCGCACCTGTGGACCCCTGTCCGCCCGCCTCTGACCCCCCCAGGCCACTGACTCCCACCTTCCAAACTCCGCCTCCTCACTCCCCGTCCTCTCCACACTGTCCCCCCTTCCCCCAAACTCGGGCCTGGCCGCCTCGCACTCCCGCTGGCGCCTCCACCGCAGACCTCGCGGTCCTCACTGACGCCTCGCTGCAGGCCCAGCTGCCTCCCGGCCCCTCGCTGCAGACTCTGCGCACCTCCACTGGCCCTGACTCGAGACCCCGCTGTCCACTCAGCGGCACTCCACTTTCCCCTTCCCTGCTCCCCAGTGCTCAGGCCCATTGCCCACTCCCCTGTCCCCCCACGTACCCTCTTCTACCGTGGACCCCTGCCCCAGCCCACCCGTTCCTGGCTTTGTGGCTTGGAAGGCCCTGAGGGGAGAGCAGGGACGGCGGGGAAGGGGCATGCGGCCGGAGGGGTCTCCTCCGGGGTGACCTGTTGCAGGGCACTGCTTAGGAACCGCCGCCTCGATGTGGCTGTGCCCTCCCCTTTCCGCCCGCGCCACTGGTTTTGTTTTCCGGAAACACTTTGGATTAGGGAGGGGGTGAGATGTCTGTGCGGCTGGGGGCGGTGGACACACTGATCTCCTCCCCACCCCCTCCTGCCCCAACTTTCTCAGGGAAGCTTTCACGGTGGGGGCTGGGGGCTGTCGTGCTAGGTAGGCTTGGGAGCTCTTGGCCTCTGGACGGGATTGTTTGTGGGCAGTGGCCTCGCAGGGCTCCAGCACGTTGTCCCCAGTCCCTCTGGCCAGTTTCTCAGACTCCGGGGGTGTCCACACGTCGTCCCTCCGCTGGGGCTCGGTCCAAGGCGTCTCCAGCTCCGTGGGCCCTCGGTCCTCGCCTGGAAGACGTGGCCAGGCTCGGCGTTTCCCAGCCCTACAGGCTCCCGTAGCTCGTGGGAGTGAGAGATGAGTGGGAGCACAACGGCTCCAGTATAGGGGGTACTGTCCGCAGGGACTTTATCTGGTCACCGAAGGAGGTGGCTCCTTGACAGGAACAGATTGGGAGCCAGGCCCACAGGCTTGAAAGGGGGAAGTCTGTGGTTTTGCTGGTAGTTTTTGTTTTTCGCTTGTGTCTTCACCAAATTGTGCCCCAAGAAAGGGACCGCTGGGCTCTGCAGGCAGATGGGCAAGCTGGTGGGTGGGGACTGGCTGCACACACCCCAGGTGTTCTGTTCACCCTCTGGGGTGGTGTCTGTGGCCCTGCATCTGAGAAACAGAAAGGGGGAGTGCCTGAGTGCTGGGAGGGGCGGGGGTCCTGGGCCAGCTCGGGGCTGCCGGTGGAGGTGTGACCTGTGTGGTGGGGGTGGGGAGGGAGGTCTGAAAGGAGCCACTGGACACACCTGCCTGGCCCCGGGGTGGACAGAACCCCAGGGGCTCTGCAGGGGTCATGGGGCACAGGTCTTTTCTGTCTGAAGTTAACGCTTGGACCTTCTTGTTTAAAGGGGCTTCGCGTCTGATTTTGGTTACTTCTCATTTTTCTCAAGTGGATTGGGGTGAGTGTCTTATTACCTGGCTCTGGGCGTGTCCTCACTGTGTCAACGGAGCCCCTGTGAAGACAGACTCTTTGAACTGCTGGTTTTGGTTGCAGCTGATTTTTTTCCTTCTCTTAATTACATAGTAATTATCCCTGGGTTGCAAGAGGAAGTAGGTGAGGTTTTTTTTGTTTTGCTTTTTTTTTAAAGTTGAAAGCCTTCCTATCTGCTCATCCCAGCTCTGGGGAAGCCAGTATGCCAGGCAGTAGGCATTAGACACCTACGGAGTCACTTGTGTCCATGGGGATTTACTGGGACGGGCCTGGGGGCCCCCCTGGCCTGGTTCCCTCAAGGCTGTACTTAAGGACGGTGGCATTTCCCCTGGGATGCCCCGTAACCCCTTGTCCCGTAGTTGACTTTGTTGCGTTCCCCCTTCCTCCCAGCCCCCAGGCCACCTCATGAACAGCGGAGTCCCTCATCCTGGTTGTGGTGGCGTTGGATCTGTCCTGGCAGGTTCTTTCCAGGTGGACCCTGAAAACCCAGGGGTGAGCGGTTGGGGCCCTGTCTCCTCCTAGGAGGAGCTCGAAGTCCATCAAGGCCTCCATAGGTCAGGTGGTGGTCAGAGGGCTGGGGAAGGAGCAGGAGAGGTGGGGCTATGGGGCACCGGGTGCTGGGGGCCACCAGCCTTCTGGCCTCTGGTGGCACTGGGCAGGTCAGCATGGCTGTGTTGGCTTTGATGGGGAGACAGGTGCACATGCATGCTGGTTGGGGTTGTGGTCCACGTCAGTGCCTTGCTGGCTCAAGCGAGGCCACAGGGTGCTCTGGCGACTCGTCAGGAGTGTTCCCACAGGTCGCATCTTTCCATGTGGTGCAGTCAGTGGGCCTTCAGGGAAAGGGACAGCCAAGCCAAGGCCTGGTGGGTCTGGAAGGCCCCCACCTTGCATGGCTTCCAGTCTGCCCCCTTCCCTTTTGGGGGGCATTGCTGGGCGGCCTCCCAAGTCCTTGTTGTGTGGGTGAGGAAGCAGAGTCCGAAGTAACCTGCTGAGTATGGAGGCCTGGGCCCTGATGAGGGCAGCATGCACACCTGTGCCCCTTGGTGTGCATGGTGCCAGGCAGGACTGGTCCAAGCAGGAGTAGGTGTGGTGGGAGTTTCTGGGGCTCCTGCTGCTTGGGGGCTTTCATCTCTCCTCCCCATCCCCTGGGTGTTGGCCTGCCTTGGTGTCTCCCTGTTGCCCCATCGTCCACAGACGCTTCTGGCCTACGCCATGCTCGCACAGGGCCCTTGTGGTGTGGGGGTCCATGCACAGGATTGGAGGTACTCTGGCAGGTGGTAAGTCCTTGCCCCGAAACCCCCGCCCAGTCTTTCTGCTCACAAGAACAGGCCGTGGTTCTGGCCCCTCTCCAGGCCCTGTCTGGGGTCCCCTCCCTTAAAGGCCTCCCGCATGTTCTGCTCATCCTCAGAGGGCAGCTGGTGGCCCATTTCTGGGAGCCTTCCCCTTTGCTATGGGTCCTTTCTCTTCTGGGAGCTCAGCAACATCTATGGTTAAATGTCAGGTTACAAAATATTTTTATTCCTGTAAGTTGCTTTTGCCGTGTGTCAGAAGTCAAATTAATTCACCAGACCTGGGATGCAAAGTTGGCTCTTAGGTTATATCTACTGAGGTTCCAATCAGCAGCTCCCCCCACCCCCACCCCGAAGCTTGAGTCCAGCAGAGTATTCTTGGCGGGTGGGCAAGGTGCCTGCATTTTCCATGCCGGTCAGAGCCTCCTGCCAGAACCCGGGTAGCTCCTGGGTGGATCCTGGGCCATCCTGGGTCACAGCAGGATCCGAGGCGGCCCTGGGGCGAGCAGTTACTGTTTAAGAGGTAGAAATGGACATAATACGTCGTCACTTGGTTTCATGTTGGTCTGTGACATCTTGAGTCTTTTTTTTTTTTAAAGTATTGCTTCTTTATTATTATTTTTATTTATTTGTTTGACAGAGAGAGAGAGACAGCGAGAGCAGGAACACAAGCAGGGGGAGTGGGAGAGGGAGAAGCAGGCTTCCTGCCAAGCAGGGAGCCCGATGTGGGGCTCGATCCCAGGACCCCGGGATCATGACCTGAGCTGAAGGCAGACGCTTAATGACTGAGCCCCACATCTTAAGAGTCTTAAGAAAATTGTGTTTAAAGGTAAACTATTATCCGGAAATCTGCACCCTCTGAGTGACACCTCATCTGGCTTTAGGTCTGCAGACTGAGCCCCCATCTGAGAGCAGGTGACTGTCCTTGCTGGGGACGGGGGTTGAGGGCAGCGGCTGTCCGTGCACAGACCCCCCAGACGAGCGTACGCAGCGCTCCCCCATGGGTGTGCCTGTCATCACAGCCTCTGCTCGCTGTGCTCCCAGGGCCCGGCCGGTGGGCACTAACTGAACAGGGTGGCCGCCCCAAGGAGCGAGCCTTGGCCGACCAGGCAAGGAGCGGGCCCTGCAGAGCCCTTCTGCAGGCCTGTGGCCGTGGGAGCTCCAGACATCACCCCTCGGTGGGGCGGTGCCTCTGGAGGCTTCCCAGCAGAGGGCCTGGGGACATTTTAGTTTCCCCAGGTTCACCTGGGTGCCTCAGGGATTAGAAATCCCAGACAGAGGGGCGCTTGGGTGGCTCATCATTAAGCATCTGCCTTCGGCTCAGGTCATGATCCCGGGGTCCTAGGATCGAGCTCCACATCGGGCTTCCTGCTCGGCGGGAAGCCTGCTTCTCCCTCTCCCTCTCCCCCTGCTTGTGTTCCCTCTCTCACTGTGTCTCTCTGTCAAATAAATAAAATAAAAAAAAATCCCAGACAGAGATGTCCAGAAAGGCTGGGGGCTTCCAGGAGAGACGGGTGTGGTTTATTGGGACACAGACACCTGAGGCCTCTCTCACTGCTTTTAGAAATGGTCTTGGGTGTAATTCCGGGTCTGTGACGGGATACCGATGTCTTTATTGCTCCATGCAGGAGGCTGTGCTAGGTCCCACAAATCACCCCCAGTCAACCCCCCTAGCAGCTCCGCACACAAGAGTGGGGCCGGGAGAGCTGACCATCCCGGGCGGCGGCCCCAGGGCCCTCCGGCACACCTGTGCGCCCCTCTCTGCCCCACCGGCACCTTCCCTCCTGCCTCTGCTCTGACGTCAGAACGGCACGGCGCTCACTGCTGGTCCCCACTCGGGGGCTGCCTCCTTTTTCTGTAAGCTGCACTGATGGGCCTGTTGGAAATTTATGCTGAGGACACTTTGTATCCCTGCTCCCTTTCTTCCAGCACTGATGACATTGGGGTTGAATCACTCTCTGGGGGGCGTCCTGGGTGCTGTGGGGGCTGAACAGCTTCCCTGGCCCCACCCACTTGGTGCCAAGAGCTCTCCG